TTGTGCTGAAATGCATTTTCTCGTATAATACCCCGTACACTTTGAAATGGCGATGCCACAATTTACCCCGCAGCAGAGAGCTTTTATGGTATCAGAGTTCCTCCGTAGCAACAACATAAACTTGGTTCGCCAAAGTTTCAAGAATATCCAGATGTACGATGCTTCACGTGCGAATATGTGAAGGGCATCGTACACACAAGTCTGGATATTCGTTCGTGAAACTTTCGCGAACCAAGTTTATGTTGTTGCTACGGAGGAACTCTGATACCATGCATAAAAGCTCTCTGCTGCGGGGTAAATTATGGTATCGCCATTTCAAAGTGTACGGGGTATTATACGAGAGAATGCGTTTCAGCACAAACAACTCGAAAGCACAAATTCCATGGAAATTCCATGGAACTCTCATGGGAGTAAAAATGAATTCATAATGAAGCAAGAACAGCACCAACAGAGAAAAATGTAACGTTTTCATAGGCTTTTCGGAGGATTTGTACTCGGTAAAATCCTGCCGAAATTTTATCATACAGTAAATGCAACAAATAGCGAACTTTTCATACATGAGCTCAAATAAAGAATACAGTTTGTCATTTCTGTGTGCAAGCCACTTTTAGGAGAGCAAAAGTTGACCACCCCCCTGGATAGCAAAATTTACTATTTTCAATTTTTTTAATATTTTCCATAATTTAAGAACTCAAGCAATCCATACATATAAAAAATTACATTTCATGAACAGAATTGTGGAATTGAGAGCAATTTCAAAATTGTCTTACTTTTTTTGATACACCCTGTACAGATATTTAAATTTTAGAATTTGGTCTATTATGAGGAAACGACATATACCTTCCTAATTTGGTGTTTCAAAATGGAGTTACAGGTATGATGGAACAATTGGCTTTGCCTAAGAATACTATTAGCAAATAGCATAATGGAGGTAGCGATCTTATGCAATTAAAGGACATTAGCAATAAAAAAATAGTATGTTTCATTCGAAAGAACTCTTAAAATTATATATTAAACTCTATTACCGATTTGTCATATCTTGCTTAGTTCTCGAAATATTTAGACCGAAATTAATGAGCGTAATTTCCACTTTCTTGGAAAAGTTCTTTACCTCATTAACTATGGTTTTGATACTTGAAAATGGCCGAATAAACAATCCAAAGTTGTTTGAAATATTTTTAATTATTTCTAAATTTCTGACAGCAACCAGAAACGAAATTTTGGACCCATATTGATCGCTTACTCTCAAGATAAAAAAATAGCGTGACCCCTCTCTTGACGTAACATGCATATCCTCAATAATCCAAGATGGCGAACAGCTCACTTTTTTCAGTCGAAATATTTTGAAAACTAAGCAAGATATAAACAATCTGTAATAGAGTTTAATATATAGTTTTAAGAGTTCTTTCAAATGAACTAAACTAATTTTTTATTGTCAATGTTCTTTAAAAGATCTTCATACTATCCTGTTCTTTACAATCTTTTCATTGTTTCAACAGTAGTCTAAGAACGTTTATTATCTGTAGTTCGAATAATAGCTGTGTATCATTAGTTACCACCAACTCCTATCCCAACTTGTCATTTGTTATAACCACATTCAAATAATCTTGTTATCTCCAGTTGAAATATAATCGCTTATTTGGCCACACCATAATGTGAATCTATATCACGTACGTTCCTAGTATTTGCCTTCTATTTCGACTTCTTTGTAAGCCACCAAATAAGTATATGCAAAATTGCCAGAAAATATTTTTATGCACTACACTGTTCTCTGCCGCATGTACTGAACTGAACTGCCTTGTCCAGAACTGTGCCTAACTGCACTGTACTGTACTGTACTGTGCTGTGCTCCACCATACCGTACAGGGCCTTTTTTAAGGATTTTCCCGTTGGGCAGTTTTTGAAAAGGGACCTTTCTGTGAGATAACATATTAGAGGTGGATAGGAACGGCTGAAGGCCACGTGTGTGGCCGACATACCACGAATGAATAGGGGGTCTGGAAAACTACGCAGAAAAATTTTGAAATTTGAAGTCCGGAAATGCCATTTCCTGCATTCTGGGCATACAAATTTGCTCTAAAAATTATGTTAACTATACTTGTATTTGAAATAAAAAAAGAAAAAAACGCACAACCAATAAAATAATTATTAAGAATAATTTATAACTACTTAGTGGTGGAAAAACTTAACAATTTAAATCGATTTTGTTAAACAAGGGCAAAGGATAAAGCCTAAAACTAACTTTCCGTTTATCTATTTGTTTTTCTTCACTGGTTTGTTCATAGATTTAGGAAAAAGGGATTTCGGGAGGGCACAAGGAGGGACTTGAGGGGCATTTGCCCCCCCTCCCCCAGCTTGTATGTAAAAAAGGCACTGACACCGTACCGTGCCGTGCCGTACTGCACCGTACTGTACTGTACTATGTAACGTACTATACTGTATTTCATTCCATTGTACTGCACTATGTATTGAACTGAAAAATTATACTTACAAAATACTTTGATGTGAACACTTTTGTTTGCGTTGGGTAAGATACCATTACTTGCTGAACAGGTATAAACTCCCTGATCACTCTCGTGTACGTGAGGTATCTTGAAGATGCGTTCACTCCCAATATTCTTGCCGTTCCCATCCGTCCACGTGAGTTGAGGTAAAGGGTAGCCTTCTATGTCACAGGAGATTAACAGAGGCTCGTTCTTAGTTAAGTTCAGCTTTGTTGGCGATAATTTCCTTATTACTGGGGAAACTATAAAAATATATCGAACATTTTGGTAAGAGGTCTCAAATAAGACCATCCAATTTCGATGTGATGTTTTTTTTATATTAGAATAACACCGTAATATTAAAGCAGACCTGCTCTAAAGTGAATCCATGCTCGTACCCAGGCTGTTTTACAAAGCCTGGCTACGAGTTTGAAGAGAATCCCTCTAGCCGATAGGACTTATTTATGAATATTGAATGCTTTTTTGTAGAAGAAATTCTAGATTCATTAGAAAAACGCATTTTTAAGTCGCCGAATGTTGTTAGATCGAAAATATTTATGTGAAGCATTGTACTGTACACGTAAACACAACAGAAAAATAGCAAGGTGTGTTTGTTTTGGTAGAAGTCTGCCATGACTGCATACCGCCATGCGCACCAATTCAAGTTCAAATGTGCTTTCAACAACCATATGCATAGGCATTGTTTTACTGGAGTTAGGATTGCAGATATGGAACACTAGAACATTTATTGGTAAACGGAAGAGATGGGTATCATTATTCGCACAACTTATCCCCCCCCCCCTTCCCCTTGGCTACGCCACTAACAGAGCTTAATAATCAGATATAGAGTATACTAATTGTTCGTGAATGTGATCATGTTATAAGTCTGATAATATGGAACATGTATAGGATTGACAATGAACACTTCTGTTCAGTGGGATTATAGACTCCATCGAATCGTCTAACTAATTCTTGGGTATCTATATCCCATTGGCCACACGTGATCATTGCCCATCCTACACATGTTTCATCCTATTTTCAATCATTCGAATTATGATTCCTTCTCATCATATATAAATAATATCTACTCACATCGTACAAATACACGAACTAAAGCTTCTGCACCTTGACCCACGTTATTATGCGGTATGCATGAATAATTCCCTCTTTGGCTCGGTTTGATATTCTTGATGTAGAACTCGCCAGTTTCTGTTGTTTGAACTTTAACAACTTCTCTCCCCAAGCCAACCTCCGAGTGATGGAACAAGTCGAAGATTGGATTCGGTTTAGAATCCGCTTCGCAAACAATCTTGAGATCTTCTCCTGTTTCCAATGTGTCACTCTTGGCGTCCGTTTTAATTTTCGTGCCAACAGGTTTATCTAGATGAAATAACATTGCAAGTCGAAACCGAAATTGGATTTAATTTGGAATTTTTGCGCCGAATCCCCAACAGTGGGAAAATGTGATTTCGAGCAGCAACTTTTATACTACCCGTATTTCGAAATTTTCCAGTGAGTAGGAAACATTTTATCGATGAACTCAATATGTAACGCAGACGAACAAGCTAAATTGGGATTACCTTCCTTTGATATACACCTTGTATGAATCAATTTGTACATTGTTAGTATTGATATAGTAATAAATACCATAACAATGAAACAATTTGTACATTGTTAATATTGATATAGTTATTTAGGAATTAAACTATTTTTATATATCCTAATATAGGAGGTGGTTATATTTCAATATTTGCGTGGGCATGGATTTCAATTTAGTTGAAGTTATAACCTGGTTTGATTTTCATTTTGTTAGAAAATAATATAAAATATCCAGGCGTGGCTGCTTGGTATGTATATATTCTGCGGCATGACGTTAACCTCGACGTTAACCACACGATTCAAACAATTTATATGGCAAAATTGAGTGTACTTGAATTTGACATTGGGCGAAACTAAACACCGCCAGTAAATCACTGACCACTAATTAATAAACTGTCGAAGTTTAAGTGAGGACTATCCGAAGACAGAGCATAGCTTTTTTGTCGTGTTTTAACGCCATGTGAGCATGTGCACACTCTACAATTTTGAAAATAATTGAATAATAATTATTTGAGTCAAATTGTGAATACTTTTCTTGTAATTCAAGGATGGAGTTTCGTAAATTTTCAAAAAAATCTACATCCTAATTGAATCTCAACAAGTTCCAAAATATATGGAGGACAAAATCAAACGAAGAGATTGGACAACAAGCTCGGGTCAAATTTCAAATCAAAATATCTGGAAGTGTTATATAATTATTTTCTCCCATGCATGACATAGTAAAATAAGTTAGTAAAAATGTTGAGATACATTACAATATCACAGAATTTTACGAAGGCCTTGCCTGCATATTCAAATGTACAAATTCACATTAATAACTATCATTCAAAAGGCTGAACTGTACCTTTGAGATTAGATCATTTAATTGGGCGTTTCGATCTGGCAAAACTGTCAGCCATATAGCTTGCAGACGAGGGGCGTTGGTCGAATCGTCGACGGTTTTTTACTTCTTTTCGGTTATTCCTGCCCAAAACGTCATCCGTTTTTTTTTGTGGAATATATACTAGCTACACTAGACTACCACCTTATTTTAGGTGCAGATACTCACTATCATTTCTTCTGGTTAAATTTATGTCTTTTTACTAACCAGTGCTATATACTCTTGAAAAGAAAAGTCAGTTTCGGTATCATACTTACATCGTACGATAACTTGAACAGTATGCTCGACTTGCGATGCGTTATTTCTTGCCACGCATTTATAATTTCCATTGTCCCTTCTTGAAACATCCTGATTGAGATATTCAGCAGAACCTTTGCCCTCGATTAACTCCACATAATCTTTGTACCAACTGACCTCGGGTATGGGTTTGCCCGTTGCTTTGCAACCCAACCTTAGTTCCTCACCTTCGCTCAGAAGCTTAGTTTCAGGTGGATGACTGACAATTTTTGGTGGAACTTAATGAAAGTAGAAAAGATAACATTTAATTGTTTTGTTCTTGTGCACAACAGTGCTCACGTTGAAACCCATCAATTATATTACTAAGCTTGTTATTAACGAGGAGTCTATTAAACGACGGCACACAACATTGACACAAAATCTCACATAATCAATACACGATTCTAGTTAGTATGTTAACTGCAAGGACTATCCTGGTCTTGAAAACATTTGCCTCCCAAAATGCCGGAAAGCAAACAATTATGTCGAATTTGTGTTGTCACGTTACTTGCATGGGCTATTAACTAAATACCGTAAACCTCCGACTATAACCCCC